AATCCATTAAGTACATGACTGTGCTCCTCCTTGCTGTCCAAGGCATCTCATGTGACACCGAGGGCAGTCATTGCCTGTCCTCCTGGGTCCTGATTTAAGTCAAGAAAACTTCAAAGCTGTCAGGTATTAGAAAAACCATGCAAGCAACAGAACAAATATTAAGCGAGGACAGAGAGATAACTAATAGTATGATACCAAAAGCCAAAGGGTAAGTATATCAGTCTGTTCCCACTTTAATATGCATGTCTCATCTTACTGTTGCGTGTGGGCTGTTATGAGTTACTTTGACCAATTAGTTTAATTGTTACTCCCTAATAATTTATGTACTTGCTTAGAAAAGTGATATAAAAGAAGTCTGATCTTCTAATGTTTGTTAGCTTGCTTGTTACTTCACAAATTGAGATGTGCTGTATGTCAATCACTGTGTGTGAGGTGCTGGATGCAATAGCATTAGTCAGAGCATAGTGAACATTGTTAGTACCTTTACCACTTCCCAGGCAATATAAATACTTGACAACATTTTAACTGCACTTCTCAGTCCAGAGTTTTGTGTTTTATCATTCATTTTTATTATAAAAACATTTAAGATCCTCTAAGATATTGCAGTTATTTACAGTCAGTATTTGTTCAGCATTTTTATACTACATTTTGTTGGTACTTGTTTCTCTCTGTGCTTCCTTTCTTCTACCTATTGCTACTCATTTTCCTTCAACTTGAAGAAATTCCTTTAGGATTTTTTTCTAGTACAGATCCGAGGGTAACAAATTGGTTCAGTTTTTGGACTAAAAATATCTCCAATTCATGTTTCTTTTTTGAACTGGAAATCGAACTCAGGACCTCAAGCTTGCCAGGTAGGCGCTGTGCCACTGAGCTATATTCCCAGCTCTCATGTTTCTTTTTTGTTTCCTTTTTTTTGGCGGGGAGCAGTACTGGGAATTGAACTCAGGACCTTGCACGTGCCAGGCAGGTGCTTATGCCACTGAGCTATATCTCCAACCTCATGTTTCTTTTTCTCTCTTTTTTTGGGCTGTATCGGGAATCAAACTCAGGACCTTGTGCTTGCCAGGCAGGTGCTTGTGCCACTGAGCTATATCCCCGGCCTGCATGTTTCTTTCTGAAGGATTTTTTCTTTACTGTTTATTGAATTATAGGTTGGCAGTTATTTTCTTTTAGTTTTTTAAAGATACCAATCCATTATTTTATTGTTTCTGTCTTTTCTGTTGACAATCATCAGTTCAGCTGTTCTTGCCTTTCAGGGTAATGGGTCTTTTTCCTCTGGCTGCCTTCATGATTTTCTTTTTTGTATTTTGCTCCCAGCCATTGAGTTATTGACATTTGTAAGTGTAATCTTCTTTGTGCTCGTTCTTGGGGTTTATAGAACTTTGTATTTGTGGCTTGAGCTTTCATCAGTTTTAGAAAAGTCAGCCTGTATTTCCAAATATAGTTTCTGTTGCATTCTCTTCTTTCTACCCTTCAGAGACTCCCACCAGACATAGTTTTCACTATACTGTGTCTCATCTGTCTCTTAAACTTTGTTCTGTTTTTCCATCCTTTTATGCTTCTGGGGTACATCTTGACTGCAGTGACAGCTTCCTCTTCAGTCGTTTTGTATGTCTGTGCCCAGCTCTTATCCCCATATAGTAATGAATTTATAATTTCAGTTATTTAAGTCTTAGAATTTCCAAATGATTAACCTTCAGTTCTAGTTATGTGTTAACATTCTGATCATCTATTTCAGTGAACATTTTTATCCAGTTTTTAAAAAGTCTTCACCAATTCAGTATCTGCATCACTTGTTTTTCTGTTGTTCCCATCTCCTGAAATGCCTGGTAATTTTTTTTATTGAGTTCTGGACATTATGTATAAAAACTGGTGCAGGCTCTGGAAAATGTGTCATTGCTCCAGGATGAATTTACTTTTGCTTATGACAGGCAGTTGGATGAGGGACAGATCATTTCAGTCCAGTCTGGGCCAGGACTGATTGAATGTTGAGTTTTAGTCTTTAGAAAAGCCTTGTGTATTCTTGCTTCACGATTAGGGTTAGGTTGTGTAGTCTTTCACGGGTCTCAAGGAAAAGTCTGATACGTTTACAGGACCTTCTTCCTCAGCAGCCTCTGAACTCCAACTTTGTCCTTCTGACTCCATGTTCTTCTTGATGTCTCAGTATTTCATCCTACATCAAACTGGGTGAAGACCTCCAGGAGAAAAGTGGGGCCGATGCTCAGGTTCATATTCATCTTCTCTCTAGAATCTCAGCCTCCTGTGCACTTTAATAGCTCTCCAGTACCTCACGCAGATTTACAGTAAAATTCCTCCATCTCTTGAGTTGTTCTTAGCAGTATAGCTATTCTGTTAAATTGGTCATAGCTGGAAGCCAGAAATTTAATTTTTAAGAAATAATTCCAACAAATCATGGTAGGCAATAGACTCCTCTCACCAGAGAAATTTCTTATCTGTTGAAGTCAGACTACCCTTTACACTGCAATTGTTATCTAATATAAATTCTCCAATTTTGAGACAATCAAGTGTGATACAGAATGGAAGAATATGCACCTATCTCTTAATAGACATGTGGGAAATGCTCTGTTCTCATCAGCCATGTATCAGTAAGCCATCTCAGAGTATCCTCAGTATCTTTTATACTTCCTTGTATCACACACATTATGTCATAACTATTTGTATATTTGTTCATCTCCTCTGCTTGACTGGGAGCTGGATCTCTGCTGTATTTACCTTTATATTCTTAGTACCTGCCATGGTGCTTGGCATATGGAGGCTATCCAGCAAATACTATCTGAATAGACATTTTTTCTGGATTAGATAATTTATATGGATCACAATACTCATTAAGTATAGTAGTTTGAATCCAGAACTTTTTTCCTTTGACCTTGCCCCATATTTTATCCTATTTAAGAGTCTGTTCATTGAACCCACAAGGGAATTTCTGGGTTCCCTGAAAATTGAGAGTATAAAAAACTAACGAAATATAGATAGGGAAGATACCAGTAAAGTTCACGACTGAATGAATGCAGTGTTCAAGAGAATAAATATAAAGTACCGTACTCTGATTCTTGCTCCAACAAACTTCCTTCTGCACCAATACTTTCTATACTTTTTACTGGCTTAAGACACATGTGGAAACACTTAGGTCATACTTGAATCAGGTATGTGTGTTTTTTGCTATAGTATTTAAATGGAGAGTCATAATTGACCAGTCTGTGTTCATTCTGTACAAATGGATACCTGACCTACTTTGCTTTCATTCCAGATGACGAAGTCTGAATTCCACTAGCTGTGTAGTGAGTATACTTTTCCATTTGAAATTAAAGTTGGAGTTGATCTAAATTAAGAATGTGTTTGACTGACAGAGATCTTACTCTTTTTCAGGCTCATGTCTTCACTCGTAGCACTTGCTGTTTCCAAGTGCTAGGAGCAGTCGCATGGACTTCCTTTTACTGATTCTTCACATGCCCCCCAGTACCATTCCGTGTTTATAAGATAGAAATAAAGACTTTTTTATTACCTTACACTACCTAGCTTCAGCGTAGTCATTCCTGATGTTTCCTATTGAACGTGCAAAGCGTAAGCCATGTCATCCTCAAGCTTTTCTTATTCCCAGTTTTAGAAATTAAAAATGTATTTATGAGGCTCTGGCATCTGGAAATAGCTTTATCATCAACAGGTAATAATGATAAGATGTGGACAATTTGAAAGTACTAGAAAGTAACCAGAGCAGGCAGAAACTGAACAGGAGTCCATCCTTCAAGACAGTGTGTAAGGTTTTGCCTGAAGGCCTCCTGCAGTCTTGAGGTAGGGACCCAAGCAAGAAGGTGTCAGAAGGCCCTGTTCAGTGACAATAGAACAGTCAGAAAATTAGAGGGAAAATCCAACAAGGACAAAATTACTGTCCATATGCAAAAATAAGAAAGTGTAATACTCATGGGAAAAAAGGAAAGGTCAACAGAAAGAGACCTTGAGAGCTAGCCAGCAATGACATTAGCACCTATTATAAGTATATTCAAGGAGCTAAGGGAAAGAAATATGCACAATAAATGAACATATGGAAAATTTCAGCCAAGAAGCTGAGACTGAAAAGAAATCCAAATGAAAATTCCAGCTCCAAAAAGAACAATAACTGAATTGGAAAATTAACCAGCGCTCAGAAGAGTCAATGAACTAGAAGAATTATCCAGCTCAAAGAACAAAAGAAAATTAAAGCACACATCTTAGCTGAAGACAGGATGTAAAAGTAGAGTGGAATTGAAGTGAAATCTCCTACTCATTAATTCTTCAATAAAGATAAGCGTCTTGGGTTTTGAATGGCGTTATAATGTTTCTTCGAAGGATGAGAGAGAATATACCTGATTTCAAAGCTGTGTGTTTTTTGTTGACTTTTATAAGGTCACTTTCTCTCAGGTGGCCATAAGTTTCTTAGCTTTCTGTCTTTTCCTTTTTTTTCTCCCTCATCTTTTCCACTGGCTAGTGGCCTTTCCATCTGTGTGCTGTACTTGGGAGCCTGTTAAGAGTGACATGAGAAAGCTGGGGCAGATAATGCACTCCTGTAATCCCAGCACCCTGGGAGACCGAGGCAGGAGGTAGCAAGTTTGAGCCAAGCCTGGGCTGCTTAGAGATTTAATGAGATTCTGTCTCAATTTTTTTTCTTTAAAGGGCTGGAAATGTAGCTCAGTGCATAGACCCTGGGTTCAATCCCCAGTACTAGAAAGAAAAAAAAGGAAGTCATTCTGAGAGTGGACTAAAACAAAGGAAGCACGTGGGATGGGCTGTCATTTACGGTCTGTTCTTCATTACTGTGCCTTTTGATGTATTCTCCTGTCGTACTGAATTGTTCTTGATAGTTCAAATCTTGTGAATTATTTTTAAGCACCAGTCTTTCTTAAGAATCTGTGAATTCAAAATGTCCAACGATATTTCAAAAAGCTCACTTTAATGATTACTCCCTCTAGACATACGTCTGTTTCTTTTTGGTTTAAACTCCACAGGTGTTTCAAAACCAATGGCACATTCAGCAGCAACCCGCTTCCCCTGGTCCCGGTAGTAGCGCCTTGTCCTCAGGATGGTTTGGAAATGAAGCCCCTCAGTGCCATGAAGATGCCTGTGTGTCTGGCCTCCGTGGTCCCTGATTGTGGCCAGTTACCTGAGGAGAGCACCAAGAACAGTGTGGTACCAATACCTGCCCCGCATCCCTGCTGTCAGGACGACATAAATGACATCAACTCTGACTGTACAGAAGATACCACAGAGTTTAACAGAGGTACAGGGAAGTGATTTAAACTGTAGAGGTTTTTGTAGATAGTCTTCATTTAGCTGAGAACTCTATCAAGGAGGGTTTTCTATGATGCTGTCATATATTTTTTCAGAGACTGGGCAGGGGTATTAGATCGTTCAAGAAAAGATAGGACAGATAAAGGATTCTTTGCAATTCTGTTATTATTTACACGCTTCATCTCAGGCAGTTAATCCCATTACATTTAGGAAAATGTATCCCATTAGGCTTGGATTCAGTTTGTGCCTGAGCAAAATACTTGCGGGAAGATTGCATTTTGTGAACATGGGCCCCTTTTTCATTTGAGTTGGTTCTGGAGTTGTAAACTTTCTATAAGTGGCTATTTGGGGGCTTATAAAGGGTTTGTTTTAATCCCAGATGGATTGTACAACTATTCGTGAGAACTCAATTTTATTTTAAACCTCTTAGACCCTTCTTGCTCAAACTCAAGCCAAGTATAACCAGACTACTTTTGTTCACTCTTCTTTCATTATTGCTGAAAGTAATATCTCTGGAGTGCTGTGCAAAAGTCAGCTTTTTCATTTCATAATGCTCCCAAACCTTTGTGTTTTTCAGGAGACAGCTGTGGCCACTTAGAAATGGAGAACAAAAGTTTAAATTGGAATCCTCTTATTTTGCCACCTGTTTCAGAGGACTGTCCTGGGACGATGACAGTGTGGTCTCCTCCTGGCATTCCTTTAGATAGCTCGTCAGGGGTCCTTCAGCAACCCCAGGAAACCTGAGGCTGTGCAAACACCAAGTCACATTTCCTTTCAGCCAGTAGCTGCACTGAACAGGCCTGGGAATGAACTGTGTGAAGGATGTTAATTCAAATAAGAGAAAATCATTATTTATTTTTTTGTAGTAACCTTCATGTGAATGTATCTTAAAATGTGTGCCCTCTTATATTATTTATGCCTTAAAATTTCCCTTCCCTTTTCCTTCTTTCTCCCTTAGTAGGAAACAACCTTGTTTTGCATGGTTCGATTGTCTGGAAAACAGAGGGATCATTCCACGTTTTCCAAGACCCTCGGTGAGAGTAAGAGTTCCTTGTGCCATGGATCTGATCCGTTGGCTGATTCAGCTAGGAGGGAATTGCACAAGCCGTTTGAAGTCACACTCTCAGACGGGAGATTGCCATTCAATGTTGAGACCATTTTCAGATCAACCACAGTTGTGACCTAGTGTTTATAGTGGCAGATCAGGCTGATGAATTTTATAAAGGTGCCTCCCACAAACGTGCTTATGCCACCTGCCGACTTTTTGTCTGTGCGTGGGCACAAGCAGTATCCAGGCTCTAATGACAGCCAGTGTTGTTGGGAGAATGTATGGTCTGGCTGGATTATTGCAGTCTGCAGAAAGAGATCAAAGGCCAGGGAGAAAGTTAATGCCTTAATGTCCCACTGCTTTAACACTACATTAGTTTATAAAATGGTCCTCATGGGGCTCCTTTTGACTGATTCTAAAAGTAGGAACAAACAAAAAACTGTAAAGTGCTGGCTTGAAGAGAAGGGTACACAGTTTAAGTAAAAACCGTAGGCATTGAGGGACCTGTCTTGGCAGAAATGCTTTAGTGTGCTATTCCACGGGAATATGCTCATGGTGCCATACCACCTGAGGATAGTTAGTTACTCCTTCCAACATGGGCACCCACCTGGAAGATGAGAGTATGTGCTTGTGAGTCAGTTTCCATCAGTATAACAAAGTACTTCAGAATAGGTTTATTTTGACTCACAGTTGTAGCGATTCCAGTCCATGTTCAACTGACCCTGTTGGATTAGGCCAGGGGCAAGGCAGCACATTATGGTAGAGCACATGGTGGACCAAAATGCTTACATCACAACTGAGGAGCAAAGAGAAAGAGGAAGGGGTTAGGGTCCTACCATCCCCTGTAAGGCCATGTCCTCGGTAACCCAAAGACCTCCCACTAATTCCCACCACCTGCAGAGGGGACCACCTGGGGACAAGGTTGTCACCCTTCAGGGAACACTCAGGATCCAAACTATAACAGAGTGTTGGGAAAGACTTAATCTGGAAGAAAAGGGGTTTTAGAGGGAAATTTCCTGATTTTTTTTCAGAATGCAGTAATGGTAAACAAGCACCTAAAGCTTTGGTCAGTAGAGCTTATGCATCACAGCCACTGCTACCTCGGAGTGACAAGGACATTGCAGCTGTCCTTGGAAGACTGTTCTGCTCCATGTTCAAACAAATATACAACAACAACAAAAACCCAAAACACTAAATGCATTTCATAGTGTGAGTCACTGAACCTTCTTAGATTGTATATCCCTTTGGAAAAAGATACAAAAAATATCCACTTCTGGTAGAATTAAGAAGTTCCAATATAAATAAGTAAATTTAGTTTCCCAGAAATTGCAGTGGAATAGAATAATAGAATATTATGTTAATCAACTTTTCTGTATAATGCATCAGTGCTCCCTTACATATGTCTATATCTTTTATAAATAGAACTGTTAGTGAAAATGTGCTGTTCTGCTCGGTCACTATGCAAGAGTTACTTCCAGCAGATTGTAGGGAATATAAGGCCACAGCCAGCTACAGTATTAGGTTGCTAGAAAAGCAAGTTCTACATTCCAGATGACCATGCCTGCAGTATACTAGGCTTGTTCTTCATGTTACATTGATGTGGTAAGCTTTGTGTGGGGGATGCCTGCAGCCCCTACTTCTGTGACTAGCAAAGGACAAAGTCCTGGGACACAAAATATAAAACCACACTCTATGTTTCCTGATCAAGTTACGGCATTGCTGTCACGCAGGGAGTTTTAGAAAACTAGGGAGTAAACGTCCACAGGCAGCCAGTTTGATTCATGAAACAGGTGTATTTGCATGAGCCTTAGGTCAGAAACTGCTTTTAAAGATTGAGTTTGAACGTGGGACTTGTCCATGAGGAAGAGAAAATGACTTTTACCTTCAGGGCAATCTCACTGTGGACTGCTTTATTTATATTATTAGTAACGCTGTTTTAAGTGTTATCTCCTTTAACTGTATTTTATTTATAAAAATGCCTTTATATGTTGAGATATATAAATATAAATATATATAATTAGCCTTTATATTTAGGAGTTATCAGTTCTTCCTAGGCATGAGAGGCTGTGAACCTTTATGCCCTGCACGGTCACTAGAAACAGTCCTACCTAATATCTCTTCCCCAGGAAGTAAGAGGACATTGGGCAGCATGGGGGGACAGCACTAACAGATGTTACGGAACCACTGTGTACCAGACACTGCATGACGCTTGTTACTGTGATCTCATTTAATCCTCACAACGAATCTACAAAGCAGGTGTGAAAACTCACGGTTCACACAATGAGCCACAGACCTTGAATTGGACCCCAGTTTATCTGTAGTCTTTATCTGCACTCTTTCCAATTTTCCATACTGTTCTCCAGAGGCCTGGAGTGAGGTTCTCTGATAGAACCATCCTGCAATGTGGGCTCTTGCTTGGCCGCTGGCAAAAGAAGCTGCCCTCTGTCCCACCTGGCCAGAGCGCTTTGCTCAGTACTTTAGTCTTCCAGGATCCACTGTTTCCCCCTTGATGGCCCCACCCACCCACCTCCTACCACAGAATTTGATCTTCACTCCGCTCAGTAATCATGAAATTGGCTGGGCCTCCGTGTTCCTTCTTGGCCTAGAATTCCACACCATTCTTTATCACTAACATTAAAATTCCCCTACTCCTGTTATATCATTTCACCATCTCCCTTTGATATTTTTCTTTTATTTATGCACTAATGGGCTGGTAATAGGTGCTGTACCGGGTACAAGTGAAATTGCAATGTTCTAAGTCTTTTGAAGCAGGCTTTTCAGAAAGCCTTGCTTGTTGGGTTTTGTTTTTAAAGAGTAAATGAGTCTCTGAAGATCAAGATACCATCTGTAGCAGGCCGATCATGTCGCATATCTCATTCCAGCTACAGTACTGCCGCGAAATTCTATTTGTAATTGAACTTTGCCTGTGTCATTCTCTTTTAAAGCAGTGACTCTGAGATGCATGTTTTGTATCATACTGAAAAATGTTTTATTTTCCTTAAAGTTGTAATATTATGTTTGAAATTGTACATACTTTAAATGATGTAGCTTGGACAGGTTTTATTTTATTGATATGATTTTATATTAAAAGAGAATGCTGCTTTCCATATAGACTGGCCTGGGAAGATGACACTCCTGAAATACTTGGTTTGTACAAAGTGGCTTTGTGGTTTGGGGTGGAAGTGGGTGTGATACCTTACCCTGAAATTCTTCTCCTGAAAATCCCTTTTGGCTACCCAAGATCCCAGAGCACTATCCCTTCCATCCCAGCTGCAGTGATTCAGGCCCTGAAGGAGCAGGATCTTGGGGGAGTGCTTGAGGAGACAGAAAACCCTGAGCCTCTGGGCTGTGTAGAGGCAGAGGGAGCCTCACGGGGTAACAGCAATGTTGGGAAGGAAGTTGGAGGAGGGGCGGGTCAGTGGGCAAGAGGTCCTCCTCACAGTATTTTTACCGTGAATCCAGAGCTTCATCTAGGAGTAGAAGTCAGGTCGAAATTGAAACACCTCAAAAGCAGCTTTGCTGTACTGCTCTAAAACATAAAGGTTTCTAGGCTCATTCAACCAGAAAGTCAAGAACATCTTTTGTGGCCTTTCTGTATCTCATTTCCCACACTTAAGCCTTCCTTAAACCCTAGCTCCAGTTCTGAGAGCTTTGAGGGAAGCCGAAACCCTTTTTCTAATGAAGTCTAAATCTGTGAGAACCAAGGAAGGTACTTAAGTTTCCCTCGGTTTTCTGTCTGCTGTGAGGCGCCACTTTCCCTGGTGCTGGCAGATCATCCCTTGGCTCTCTCACTGCTGCTTCTCATCTGCATCCCCTGTGGAGGCAGCTCTGAGGCCTGACTCTCCTCACCAGTTGAACAAGCATTCGTTTGTGCTTCACCCAGATCTCCAACACACACACACACACTGGGAGCCAGTGAGTCATCCTGGCAGCTGACAGAGTGTGACTTTGGAACGGCTCCTCTTCCCCGTCAGCCAGCTCCCCCAGGCCCGGTGGCTGAGCGTCGCTTCTGGAATACCTCTGTTCTCGCTGTGTTGGCCTGGCGCGGACTCCTGGCGTCTGACCACTGCAAGGTCCACGAAGTTCCTAAATTGCATGTGAGTGGAGGGAACACGTGGCTGGCTCTACACCCTGCTCTACCCACTCATAGAACGGTGCCCAGCTGTCAGCTTCTGCCTGAGCTAGTTGCAGCTGAAATAACCCACTGCTAGTGAGAACATTAGGTATAATTTATTTATCTCACGGACATTTTTTGTTTTTTTCTGGAAATAGCTTGCTCATTTCCCTGTAGTACCAGAGATGATTCCCAGAACCATCATTCTCGCTTGTCTTCAGATACCCCACAAGTCTTTACTCCAGCTGTGTCTTCCTTGTCCTGCCATCTCTGACATCCCCAAGCTGGACCAGGGCTACTTGTGACCATGTTGCCCAGGGGCACTGCAGATGGGCCCTTGTGCCAGTTATAGTCTGGTATTAAATGAGAAGGGCTGGTTGGTGTCATAGCCATCTTGGTCTTAAGACCATTGTGACCTCTCACCTGCCCTCCCTAAGCTGCTGTGCACCTTCCTCTTTGGCTTCATGGTGTTGCAGTCACCGTGATGGTGACATTTACTGGAACGTCAGTGGATTCTGGTGCAGGATCTGAACTTGGAGTGGTGGTTGGTGTTTCAATGCCTGCAAAGAACATACGTGCGCAAAGAAAAGAAATGCCTCGGGGGTGTCCCAGATGGCTCTCAGAGGATAAGCTAGATCAAGCATGCGCAAAACTCAGCACCAGTCTCCCAGTAGATAAATAATCTTTAGGGTAAAATCCTGCTTACTTGCCAGTGCCTCGGAGCCTTCCCTTGAACCCCTCTGTTGGTGCCTTTGCTCCCTGAGAGTGAAGTGGGAGAGTAAAGTTAGTGACAGCTGAACTTCCCCAAGCTTCCCTTTCTCATTAAAGTCCTGAACCCCAGGGTGCCCGAGGTTCCACACTCACATGGGAACAAGCCACTGGCCAAGGCCTGCAGGAAGGAAATAAGCATTACTGCACTGACCAACACGAATCCCAGGGAATGGCCCTCCCTTCCTGATGGACTCATGCAGATAGCGCTCAGGAACCTTAATGAGGATGGCCCCAGATGCCCCCCAAAAAGACATGTAGTGCTTGGGAGAGGGTCACAGCTCAGAAAGACCCTAGATTCTCCTTAGGTAAGTCTAGATCTGGCCACCTTAGGGAGTCAAGCAGCCCCAACCCTTCAGATGCCCACTCACGGGGGAAAACCTGTGGGTGCCGGGCAGCATACTGGAACACCAGGAGAGAGGCCACTGTTGCCACCACCATTCCTGTGCCAGCCGCACCCAGCACTGCTGGGTAGATGCTGAAGGGAGGGTCCACTAGGAGGCAAGAGCAGAGGGTGCATGGTTTAGAGCCACAGTTGAACTTGGGCTCCAAGGGCTTACTGAGGAAGTGCTGCCTTGCTTGTCCAGTTCCCGCTCAGCTATGGGGGCGGGGGTCTGGTGATCAGCTGTCTTTCCAAGGAAGGAGGTGTGCTGGCTGCCCAGTGCTCTCAAGTCAGCCAATCCCCTGTTTCTATTGCAGAATGCGGAAAGCTACTTATTTTGGCAGATTGGTGCCGAAAGGAAGTAGGTATAAAAGAGAAACTCCCAGGATGAGGAGGAAGCCTAGAGTCCTCTGTACCCTAAGAGGCGAGACCGAGGCATAGAGTGGGGCTCTACTTCTTAAGTATCACCAGCACCCTGTTCCTTTTCTTCCCCTGTTCTGATTCAAGCTGAATCTGAGTTCTATCCCAGGTGACACCTCCTGAGCCCTCCAGGAAAGGATGGAGAAGAGCAATAGAGATTACCTGATGCCCCTGAAGAGGGCGAAGAAGAGGACAGAGACAGGGCTGAGGGAATCCGCCGGGAAGGAGGCAAAGGAATGTTGTGGGGATGCCCTGGGAAGAGGATGAACCAGGGTCCAGTCCTCTGGGGAAGGTGGGATTCTCTCCCTGGCACTAAGCCCAGCACCTGGTGTCTTCACCTCGGAGGGATGTCCAGTAGTGTGGTGATTCAGGGCCAGGATTCGGAAGGCATAGAGGACGCCTGGGTCCAAGCCTCCCAGCTGCCAGTCCCTGCTGTCTGGTTCAATGTCACTAGCTGCAGTTTCCCAAGCCCCAGCTCCAGGGCCAGAGACACTGGCCCTCTGCTGCACCAGAAAGCCAGTCAGGTTGCCAGGACCCTGGACCGCCCATTGCAGCTGCACCTCTCTCCAGTGCCGCCGGTAGGTCAGGCGGCTGATAGTGACGTTGGGAGGAGCAGGATACCCTGGAGGGGAGAGAGGGTGGGAGACACTGTAAGGCATCTTGTGTGTACAACTCTGCGCTCCCAGATTTGCTCCCATGGAGAGGCAGCCTGCAGTGTGGAAAAGCCACAGTTTCCTCATCTATAAAATGAGGAAAAATAGATGATTCTGACTGCATGGAGTTCTGTCTGTGTGGAGTTCTGACTGCATGATGTTCTATGTGGAGTTCTGTCTTCCAAACTTCATCAGCCTACCTGGGGATGTGCTGTGAGGGTCTGGCTGGGCCCAAGGGTGCTCAAGGGTGCACGTTTGGTGCAGGGAATTCCTAGGCCTATCCACAAAGCACTCTATGGCTGTTGGTCTCCCACCCAACTTGCCAAACACACCCCTCACTCACTGAGAACCTCCAGCACCACACTCTGGCTGCTGTTGCCCACGGCGTTGCGAGCCACACATTGATAGGTGCCGCTGTGGCGTGCTGGGTCAGCACCCTGTATTTGGAGGCGCAGCTGGGCACCCTCAAGGTGCAGCACAAACTCAGAAGTGCTCCGCTCCACCTGCTGTCCCTGGGGTCCCAGCCAGAGGAGCTGGGCAGGTGGCATCCCGCCCTGGAGAGCACATTCCAGCCAGGCCGCTCCTCCCTCCAACACTAAGACCTGGGTCTTGGCCACTGTCAGCTGTGGGGGCTCTGTGGGGACAAAAGAGTTGAGGCTGGAACAAGCGACTTGCCCTAGCTAACAGAAAGACTTGAGGGAAAGGTGCTGGCCAGTAGTGAAGGGGATGGAGAGCAGAAGAGAGGAGACAGGGAGCTGTGAGGCTTGTTCTGGGTCACCCGCCTTCAGGTTCAGACTCCATTCCACGCCGAGGGTCACAGTCTGCTCCACAGTTTGCTGCTAACAGCAATCTTTTCTTATGGTCCCCCCCCCCACCTCAGCTGCTGCTCCTTCGGGCGGGGATCCTGCCTTGTGCCTCTCTGCAAGCCTCCCTCTCCCACTTCCTGCAGCACCTGGCATGGGCCTCTTTTCCCCGGTGGCCCACCACCTCCTGGCTGGTTTCAGGCACAGTGCCAGGCCATAACAGGTGCTCAGCTTTTATGGACTGACCCTTATTAAAGACCCAGACTCTCAGGTGTCAATGAATTTCTATGATGGAATTTCCGGTCTTGAAACTGAGTAATAGGGGAAGAAATATTTTGAGTTAAGGACCTCTTTAGAATCCCCCACAATGTGCTGGTCACAAAGCCTTTGGAGACAAGGAGGTAAATCATCTTGCAAAAATTGTTGTATGTGACAGTTCTTCTGCTTTTCTCACATTTTAAAAAATTTCAGTATTTAATTATTTTGTCTTCAGTTGTTAATAGAGTAGCAGACCAGATGATGACAGAAAGAGAAATCAGACCCTAAGCAAAGAAAGGGACTGAGAGATGTAGAGATAGACCTTTGACACCTGAAACGTTAATGCAAGTCAAGAATATAATCAGGTACCCTGCTTATGCAAATGTATGCAAATGAGGGATACCAGTAGCATTCTCACCTCAGCCACTTGTGACCAGTGAGCCCTTGCAATGTGGCAAGTTGCACCGAGATGTGCAATAGTTGTAAATACACAGGATTTTGAAGACAGGATGAAGAAATGTAAAGTAGCTCATGAATAGTTTTTATTATTATTACATATTGAAATAGTACTATACTGGATATCTTGAATGAAGTGTGAATTAGTTCACCTGTTTCTTCTTAGTTTTAAAAATGTGGCTGTTAGAAAAATTTAAATTGAGCATACAGCTTGCATTATATTTCTATTGGACAACATTGACCTAGACAAACCTCTTTCATTTTATGGATCCAAAAAACGAGACCATGGCAGAGAAGTGAATCAGCCTCTGTCCTGACTCACTTTCCCTTCCAGCAGAGCTACACCCTCCAGAGCCCTCAGCCTGTTCCACGGAGTGATCCTCTTGCCCCGGCCCAAGACCCGGAGGCTGGCCCTGCTCACCTAGCTGGAGCCGGCACTGGACATCAGGGATCCTGAGAAGGTGAGAGCCCTGGCAGGTGAACTCTCTGCCAGCCAGATCTTCCTGGGCCTGCAGCATGTGGATGGCCAGTGAGGAGCTGTTGCCACCCAGGGGCTGCCCCTGCTCGTCGACCCAGCTCAGCATGGCAGGGGGCATGCCCCCGGGCCACGCACAGCTCAGCAAGATGAGCTGGTCGCCCACTGTGGCTGTGATCCGGCAGGTGGGGCTGTGGGGAGGTTCCCCTGGAAAGGAGTGATGGATCAGATCAGCCCACCTGTCCCTCTCCTTCACTTTTATTCCCCATTACTGTGTCACTCTTGCATGCACTCATACATCCTTTATCAAGGGCAGACCATGTGGCAGGGCGACGGTGGGAATAGACACTAAGCAAACTATGATATAAGTAGATGAGTGCTAGAGGATGTGTAGAAAGACAGAACTCCCGAAGGCTTCAGAAGGAGGGCTTTGTAGACAGAATGACATTTGAACTCTGTCTTGACCATGGTGGGACATTCCCAGGCTGAGAGGAGGCAGAGGCTCACATTTGGGGGAAAGAATGGGCAGGCACATTTCCAGATCAACACGCAATGCAGCAGAAGCAGAGCATAAGGATGGCGGGCTCCTGTGGGCCATGGAGCCGGAGCACAGGAAAGAGGGGTCACAGCTGCAAGCGCCAAGTGAGATGGACAGAGCTCAGCATGCTTGAGAAGCAATGACCTGGCAGCTGAGGGCTGAGTGCTGCCTGCCTCTTGTTTGGGGCAAGTCTTGGAGCCTGAAGCCTGGAGCCCATCCGAATGCTCTGGTCCCCACCCACACGCTGCCTGAAATGTCAGAGCCTTGGTGTTGCCTGTACCCACTTACAGAGTGTGGCCCTGCAGAGGGCGGGTAGTGCCAGGGCCGGGTGCTTGCCAGTACAGGTGAAGACACTGCCATTGGAGAGCCGGGTGACTGAGGAAGTCCAGGTGGCATTGCTGGGAGCAGTAGGGCCAGTCCCGTGGGGCCCCTCCCACTGCAGCTGGGCGGTGGGAAGCCCCCCAGGCCAGGTGCAGAGCAAGGTCACAGCTGCAGAGGAGGGCAGCACAGCACAGGAGGGCTGCCCCACAGGGGGATCTGGGAGGGAGGTGCGCAAGGAGGAGCTGGAGCAGGCTCCACAGCCAGTGCTCTGCAGCCTAGCCCAGGTGGGGACCTAGGGTGGGGGACAAAGGGTAGGGAAGCAGGTGGAAGTAGGCTAGTGGGGGAAGATTTGAGTCACTCAGCGTGGTAAAGAAAAGGCTGAAGTCTCAGGTTGAGGACAGAGGGCTAAAGGGTGGGCAGGGGTTCCCATGGAAGTTACCCTGACACCTGGCCTCCTACCGTTGCCCTGCCCTTCTCTGTGCCTCAGTTCAGGTCCTAGGACTACGGGAATAACCAACGATTTTGGCAGTGGGTATATAAGGTCAGGGGGTCCTACCCTACCCCTTCCCCTGGCCCTGCAGCTCTGCCTGGTTCTTCAGATATACCCCCCACTCCACTACTGCGACTTCTACACCGCCCTGCACAGGGCAGACCTGGGGGATCAGCACACAGGGCTGTGCAGGCCCCAGCCAAGGTTGGCCCCCACCCACACACTCACAGTAGATGGTGAGCTGGACAGAGGTCTGGGTGCGGGTGTCCAGGTAGCTGTTGCGGGCCAGGCAAGTGTACAGGCCTGTGTGGGCACGGCTGGCACTAGAGATGACGTAGGTAGGCCCGGTGTGGACTTGAGTATCATCACAGAGCCACACATAGTGACTAGGAGGGTTGGAGGCAGCCAGGCAGCTCAGCGTCACCTCCTCCTTCTCACTGACCCAGAAACCCTCCGCAGTGAGCCCCAGGGGCTCCACGGTGATCACAGGCTTGTCCGGGCCATCTGGAGGGGAAGGGAGGCCAGTCACACCTCCCCCATCTTCTTCCCCTCATTCACTCACATGATGGTTGCTGAGTTTGTTCCTCTTTCCCATGAGCAGGTGGGACCCACCGGCTCTGTGCCAGCCCTCGTTTCTCAGAGTTCCAGAGGTGTCAGGGCCACGGAAGGTGGGCACTGTGTGGCAAGGCTCAGGAGTGAGCTCTGACTCTGAGGGCTTCCTTGAGAGACTACAGGCTTGGGCTGAGGTAGGAGACATACCAGAGCGAGGTAGGGAGAAAAGAGGAGGGTGACCAGCCCGGATGCGTTACTTGGGGCCGGGATGATAGGTCTCTCTGGAGAGCAGAGAGAAGACAAAGTGTGGTGGGCAGCATGCTGGCCGTGGCCCTGCAGCCAGCCTCTTACTAATCAGGGTGCTCGCCTCCCCTCTCTCCTGCTTTCCAGCCTCAGTGTCTCTACCTCTGGACATTCCCTGACTCCTGAGGCGGCTGCATTCTCTGTCTGCTTGCGTACTGCTCCTACTTCCTTCCCGGGATCTCCTGCTCACCTGGTTCCTCCACAGTCCTCAGTTCACAATTTCCACCAGTCAAACAGGGCACTGTTGGCCCTTGTTCCTTAAAACCAGTGCTGCCCCACACGGGTTTGTGAGCCACAGATGTTGTTTTAAATTTTTCTAGTAACCAAATCTTAACAAAAGTAACGAGGTCCAACCAAAGAATAACAAAAACATTACTAGGTTTTACCTTTAATAATCTATTTCAGTCATCCACATTTTCCAGAATATTATTTCTACATAATCAGGGTAAGAGTTATTGATGTGCTGTTGTGATTTTTTCTTTCAGACTATGTGTTCAAGTTGCGTATTTTGCATTCCCAGCACAGCTCAGGGTGGCTGAACTGAATCTGCAAGCTCAAAGGCTCGTGTGGCTGCCATGGTAGACCGTGAGCTCTTGAACTTAGACCAGTGGTACGAACCTATGGCACAGATGCCACACGTGAACCAAGTCACCCCAGCATCGCCCCAGCAGCTCAGTATCAGATAACAGTGCACACAGGGGCAGTGCCGGCACTTTGCAATAAATAAGTGGGTTTTGGGTTGCAGTCTGGGTACTTGATCTCTGAAAGGTTCGCCATCCCTGGTCTACATCATCCACATCTTCATCTTTCCCAGGAGGCTTCTGATTTGACTAGGAGCCTCATCCTTTGGACGAGCTTGCTGTCCGCTCTGCCCATTGTGGCTCTCCTCCCTGTTTTTCCACGGTTCTATCAATCCCATAGAGCTCCGTGCGCACAACCCAAAGCTGACTTTCTGCGCTCCATCATGAGTAGAATTGTGAAGACGAATGTGTGCACCTTTTTCTGGGGAGAGGAGCTTGTGACCTTAAAATAGGCAGAAACCCCAGTACTAATGTGCTCAGCAGTCTGCTACTCTTGCCTATTGGAAAGTCAGGGTGGACTGGGGCACTCCTGAAGTGAAGGGATGGAGGGCATGCTGAGGTGTGACAGGGGCCAAATGTGGGTGGTTAGGTGGGTGTCCACACTCCAAACCCGACTTACAGACAACATCCAGGAAGACTCCATCACTGCTCAGCCCGTTGACAACATTGTAGGCGCTGCACACATACCAGCCAAGGTGCGTCCGGTTGACTGGGTCCAGCCAGAGCAGTGGCTCCTTGACCCCCACCAGAACCTCCCCAAGGCCTTGGGGTGCCTGATGCTGCCAAGCAAAGGTCACAGGCTCTGTGCCCTCCCGCACTGCACACGTGACCACCACGGAGTCTCCTTCCACAGGGGATGGGTCACTCAGCCGCACCTTAGGCTTGGATACAGGCACTGGCCAGGGAGGGAGGGAGGGACCTTGGGTTTGTTATTGCAGACAATGGCCATGCCTGGCTATGCCTGGTGACCCCATGCCTACTAGCTATGGCTTTTCCACCCAATGAGCTCTAAACATCCCTTCCCTGCAACCTCAGGTTTTCTCATTCCCTGGAGGGTGGCCCTCAGCCCATTAATTTAAATCCAGCACGTGCAAAGAGATGAGAAGCACATGCAAAGGGACGCCAAGCAGCATGCAGATCAGCTGGGGTCCAGGTACATCCTTGGTAAGGCGCCTTACCCAGCACGGCCAGTGTGAGGTAGGAATAGGTGGTGTGGAGCTGGTCACCAAACACATGCAGGGCCTGGCATAAGAAGTGGCCACGGGCACTCTCCCGCAGCTCCCTCAGCAGCAGGCTGCTGTTCTGCAGACTCACGATGCCCAGAGCCGAGGCCCCAGGCTCCACCTTGGTTGACGCTCCATCGGTGACGGCCACAGGCCGAGGAACCACAGAACCCAGTGGGGTGAAGCTCCAGAGGACCACCAAGGGGGCAGGCCCAGAGCCACAGGCCAGCTCCACAGAGCCACCCCTAACTCCTTGTACAGACGCAGCCTCCTCCATGGGGGGTCTGGGAGTTGCAGGGAGCTTGCCTGCAGAGAGAAAGAATGATGTGGCAAGTCCAGACTGCTCTGGGTCCTCCTGCACCTATCTTGCTCAGAGCCTCCCTTGATTGTTCTGCAGTCCCAGATGGCCAGGCAGGGTTCAGCAAGATAGGACCAGCACTTTTGGAGCTGGTCGGCAAGAGACCATCCAGGAGGGAGCCTGCAGGGTACCCTGTTTAGATGCCCTGGACAGGTTGATTGAGAACAGAGACGGGGCTGGAGCAGAGGTCTCCATTCCTTATGGGTCAACACAGCAGCTAATCCAAATACAAATTCATGGGCCTCACTCCAGGCTATTGTGTCCAAAAACTTCAGGATGCGGAGGGGTCAGAGCCCAGGAATCTGTATTTTAACTAGCACCCAAATCCGATGACTGACTAGCCTGATGACAGTGTTGATCCTGGAGATTCAGGACAGCCACACAGCCACTGGCCAGTCAGGGTCTGGCGGTCTCTGCGTAAGGATTCCGGGAAGGTTCCAGAGCCAGCCTGAGGGATTCTCTACTCACTGACTTGACTACAATCTGTTCCTTACTTGCCTTCCTCTCCTTCTGCATCCTCCTGAGTTATTCTCTCCTATAATTACCTTGCATTCCAGGAACAAAACAGGTGATAGGTGAACATCTTATGACAGAGGACCAAAGCCAGCCCTCTCCTGCAGCAACGGTGACCTTTTTGGGGCCAACAAATCTCTGTATTGCTGGTCCTGAGATAATTATCAACCAGATCACAGCCAGACCGAGACAGCTTGCCCAGCTGGCCATGGAAGGCCCCAACCCTTGCCTTGGTTCCTTTTTCCTATATAACTCTGAGACTGTTGTGCGCACATTAAAGACAGGTTTTAAGTCACTAGGCCTCTGTTCTTTGTGTTGCAGTCTCGGTGAGAATAAATCTCCTTTCCTATTTTCACCATCAGGTCTTGTTTTTTGGATTGACTTTTTATGGGATGGGGAGCTGAGCCTAGTCTGTTGAGAACTCTCAGAGCCAGGGCTTTTGCCTTAACCCTAGTAATAGGACCGCATCTTGTTCCAGTCCCATTGCAGCCGGGAGAAAGGGGACAGCAGCCTGTATCGGCCAATTTTTGACTAATGATGGAGAGACAGGGTCACAAGGACCAGTGAGCCCTCCCTGCTGGTCTCACAGAGCTCTCTATGACCACAGGCCAGACATTAATAGTCACCCTGAGTAAGTCACTTAACATGTGTTCTCTGCTCAGGGCCTTGCCCTCCGCCTTAGCAGTGGGTCTGCATTCTGTAAGGTACAGAGATTCTCAGCAGGTTGGCCTGGAAATAAGCACCCGGGAGGACAACCAAACCACAGGAGTGATTCACTCGAGCTCCCCTGACTGCCTTCCTCCTTCCTGCCAGGCCCTGGACTGGCCTCTTCACCCGTGTGACCCATGGGCCTTAATTCTAACAACTCTGAGAGGCAGCTAATAACTTCCCGTCGGCCTGAGAAGCTGAGACTCAGTGGCTCAAGAACACAGAGTGGGCGATGGAGCTGGATTGGAGTTCTGGCTAAACCCCAATCTCAGACCTTCCTGTTGCTATCAGCTTCCCCAGAAGAAGAAGAGAAGACAGGCATGGAATTGACGGGAAAAGATAAGGGCACAACTCTGATGTCCTATTGCTCCAGAAGAAAAATACCAAGACCACATTCCTTCTGACACCATGGGCACTGCTCGGGCCCAAGCTGCCAGGATCTTTCATCTGGGCTACCACAATGGTCTCTGAGCTGTTCTCAGCTCCCTCAAAAGCAGGGAATTTTCTGAGCCCTGGTCTGACCATGTCACGTATAAGCTACACCCTGACAGCAGCTCACAGGTAACTCTGTCTTCTTTAGGTTCACGCAGAGGGCTGTTACCCAGCTGGCACTTAGTTCACTGCATGCTAGTTAAATGTCCAGCAGATTAATGGCATGAATGGACTTCATTGAATGGATGTGAAAGAGTAAAAGGGGGGAACCCAAGGGAGGAAAGGGAAGAAATAATGGGATGTGGGGAATGGGTTTGAGGGGGGATCTGAGCTTCACTCACCTGAGGCCCCCAGATGCAGAAGGCAGAGGTGTATCAGCAGTGGCAGGCCGAATGGTCTGTGCTGGGCCCTCTGACCTACCATAGCCTCATCTCTCTGATGACTCCTGCCTCCCTCATGGGCCCCTCTGCCCAGAGCACAGCCAGCCCTGGGAGGATGGGGGTCTGACTCAGGTTGCCAACCTCAGCCTTTCTAATACCTCTACCTTTGCTCTCCTGTTACCCTTACAGCCCAGATTCCTCATGAAATATTAACCACATGATTCACTCTATACATAATGCAGAGTTGGGCAGGCAGGGTCTGGCTGGGGCAGACCCGGGGCAGAGAACCATGGGCTCCCTGCATTCACCTTGCAAGGAGAGTGTCAAATTGGAGAACCCCTAAACACGGAGTTGACAAAGGCCTCTAACATCAAATCCAACGAGCTGCCCAACAAGGATCCTGGCAAAGGCACCTGCGGGTCAACACACCTGCAAATGCCCTTTGTCCCCTCTTGGGTTCTCCTCATCTGCTGTGGAAAGAGCTGGTGAAGGGATGGAGGGAGCTGTGTAGTCAAACAGCTCAGGAACTTCAGGAAATTTCCCCGCCTCACTAAGCCCTGGTTTCTTCACAGTTATGTAAATCCAATGAGACCTTCTCTATTGTCAAGATTATTTTGACTATTGTATGAAAATATTTATATTAATGTATGGGGGCTTTCTGGATTCTAGTAACATCTATTTCTTGACTTGGGTAGGGGTCACTGTTCATCAAGCCTTAGATATTTTTGTGCACTTTGATGTAATTTGCACACACATATGTTTGATATAATTCACATGTGTGTACACACACCCAGACACATACAGAGGTGAACTGTACCCAGCATGTTGTAAATATACCATTTATGCTTTTAGCTAGATTTGAGCAACAAAGTCTGGAGTCTGGAGCTGGGATGCAGCTAGCATTTCTGCTATCAGGGGCTCTCAGGCTTATTATACTGTCTGTTTCTCTTCCACCACATCCTGCTGCCATTGTTGTCTTTGAACGACAGCCTGAGATAGAGTCAGATTTTTCCATTCCATGGTAGCAGGGCCGAGGGTGGTGGTGAGATACCTGGACCCCAGTGAGAAGGAGTCTGGTTTTGGGCTGACTGGGGCTCAGCCAGGACAAAGCTATCAGAATTGAGTGCCGGGCAGGCTCCTCCTGAGCCCAGAGATCTTTTCCACAGCCTGCTGCCCTTTTACTTGCTCTGTGGACAGATCCTGCCCCCCTTATTCAGCCTATGGTCTTGAACCCCTATTCTCATTAGGAGGGACAGGTGGGAAGAAACAGTGTGTTCATCAGAGTTCTCCACAAAAACACAGCCAATTAGATACACGCAGACATAGAAAGAGATTTATTTTATTTTTTACTTCATGGTGCTGGGGATTAAACCCAGGGGCTTGTGCATGCTAGGCAAGTGCTCTACCACTGATCAACCCCTGGCTTATAAGAAATTTGTTCATGTGACTGTGGAGGCTGCCAAGTTCCCAAATGTGCAGACAGCAGGCTTGAGACCCAGAAGAGCTGATGTATCAGTTCTGAGTCCAAAGGCGGGAAAGATGGCTGTTCCAGCTCAAGCAAGCTGGAGGTGAGGGGCAGGATCTGGGGAGGGAGATATATGCTCCCTCTTGCTTAGTCTCTTTGCTCTATCCAAGCCCTCATCTGGCTGGGTGAGTCCACCCACATTTGAGCAGCAATCTGCTTTACTGGTTCTATCTATTGTTAATCTCACCCCAAAATACTCTTGCAAAATGGCTGGAGTCATGTTTGATGAAACCTCTGAGCACCTTGCAGTGGACACAAAATTAACCACAACAGAGGTGAAGTAGATCCCTATCTGGGTGCTGACTCTGCTGGCCCTGACTCTGCCGGCCCGGAACCTAGGGCAGAGCCCTGTGTGGCCCTGATCTGGAAGAGAAGGTGGAGGAGATAGGACTGGATCAAGAAGGCAGGCTCAGAACTGCTGTCTCTGCTGCTGCGGCAGGTTAGGCTTAGGAGAGACATGGCCGGCTAGATCCTTGCTAGGAGAGACAAGAGCCCAGGGTAAGGACACAGCTTTGCCTCCTCACTACTGTGTAATCTTGGCACACTACTGAACCTCTCTGAGCTTCAGTTTCTTCATTTATAAAATAGTTTTTGTGAGAACAATAAATGAGACTATGCATGTGTTGTGGATTATATGAAGAACATCACCCAAAGGCCTGCTGCGGTCATAGGCAGGGCTTTTGGAAGAGGACTGAACCATAGAGGTGTTAGAATTCACTTGCCCTTAGGAGGCGGCCATGGGTGGGAATGCAGGCTGCTGGAGGTGTGACCGGAAGCATATATGTGCCTCCCCAGCTCCTCTCTCTGCTTCCTGGCCACCATGACATGAGCAGTTGCTTCCTCCCAGGACCTTCCACCATGTTGCTTTCCGCATTTGACCCTGTGCAGCAAAGTTCTGAAACTGGGACTCAAAATAAATCTGCCCTCCTTTAAGTTGTAGGTGTTGGCTATTTTATGCCGGCAAGGAGAAAGTGACGAAGACAGCATTTATCGTTCCTGTCTAAAGTATTCATGCCCCTTGATCTGAAGAGTGAATTTAACAAACATTTCCTGAGTATCTGTTAAGTGCAAGGCATTGTGCTGGATCTGATAGGCTTCCTTCATCCCTCCCTTCCCTTTTTCCCAAGGAGCTGCACCACACTCCCGGAACCTGGGGCTGTGCTTTGTGGTGGGCATGCTCAGTGTCCAGGCCTCAGGGCAGATGAGGTAGCCAGCTTCCAAGTTTTGATGCTTTTAGTCTCATGCCCCCACTTACTCAGGTTCTCTGCACTCCACCCTGTGGGGCTTCCACCTACCACCTGCCAGGGTCCCCAGGGCTCCTATCAGCACCTGCACTCATTGCTAGGGGGACCCCAGGGGGA